AGAGAGAGAGAGAGAGAGAGAGAGAGAGAGAGAGAGAGAGAGGAAACCGTGTGAGAGAGAGAAGAAACCGTGTGCTGACACTATCGGACCGAAGAAACCGCCCTTATCAACGGGCAACATGAATCCGGAAGCCGGGCGACATGCACAAARGACAAAAAATATKGCAGTGTATCTTTCCATGTTTTGGCGGAAGATTCATTCATACGTTGGGTGGTGGAGAACGAAGGGCCGATGAATCCGGTAAGCACGTAACGTATCTCTGGAAACTTTTTTTTTTTTTTTTGGAGAATCTCTGAACAAATGAGACTGAATCCTCCGCTTGAACATGGAAAGATACATTGCCATATATGGGCCTCGCTGCACTACTCTGGAAATCTGCAAAACGAGAGTGAATCTTGCGTTAGAATATGGGACGATACACCGCCAATATTTTTGTCTTTTGTGCATGTTGAGAGTAGTGCAGCGAGGCCCTATGTCTTGTTGTGCACGTCGAGAGTTGTGCAGCGAGCCCGTTGGTGAACATTGTTGAGGTTCTGACAGGTTAGACGTGCCGGGCTTCACTCATGCAAAGAGCTGTTCTTCCTTTACGTTTTTTTCCTTTCATTAAAAAAAAAAAATCCAGGAAAAACGGCTGCCAGTTCCGTCGTTTTCTACTTCAGAAGTAATACGAAGAGAACGTTTTGAGAGATCGCGGCCCTCATCATGACTGAATCTGGCCTGCAAGAACCCTACCATACAGACTCCAAGTACCGTTGAGGTTCTGACAGGTTGGACGTGCCGGGCTTCACTCGTGCAAAGAAATTCTGATGTTCTTCCTTAAGAAAAAAAATTCAGTTCCGGGGCCCCGCGCGGCCTCAAATTGTTGTTGTTGTTGTTTTTTGTTACTTGACGCGACATCCCACTTGAGCCTACAACACCCCTCCCCAACTTTTTTTTTTTTTGGCCGACCCCTTATTTTTGGGGTGCGCCGCACCCCATGCGCGCACGTGCAGGATGCCCCGCACCTCGATGCGCCGCAAGTATGCTAATTTATCAATTTATTTACCGCAACACTAACAACAAGGACAAACACACGACACATACCTTTTTTAGACAATGTTTTGCACGGTTTTCGTTTTTCCGCCATCAGCTGCACCACAGAGATTATGCAGCTTCTCAACAAAATTAGAGGGATTGGGAATAAACTTCAATAATAAAGAGATGTCCCTGTTCTCACGTAACAGGCTTGAGAACCACACACTGGCCAACGATTTGCAAGATATACGTATCTAAATTTGAAATAAATTTCAGAAGAGGTGAGAATCATGGGTAAACTGAAGAGGGAGAATGAGGAGCAACCATATCCTACCGTCCATTTCGCTTAATAGCTGACTCATGACGCGATCGCTCACAGCAGAAGCGCCGTCTTCCTTCCCATTGCTCCTGGCAACGGCTAGACCATCGATCTCATCGAAAAACACAATGGATGGCGAAGATGCGCGTGCCCTGGCAAAGAGTGTGTGCACTGCTTTCTCCGACTCTCCTACCCACTTACTGAATAACTCTGGCCCCTACAGAAACCAGACGATTTAACCACAAACAAACAGCAATGCAGAAATATCAGCACCCCACATCCAACTCACTGAAAAAAAAAAAAAAAAAAAACACACATAATGGACTGTAAGGATACCCATGCCCAAGCAAAGAATAATGTTCCTACCTGTTTACAGAATAAGTCAGGGTTCCACAAAATTGCAAGGAAAATGAGCAACAGCGAGATGACAGAATCCAGATTGCACAATCACATTGAAAGCCAGAAAGTCCCACAGTGTCCAGAAAGCAGCATTGCACCAATATTACGCCAATGGAGAATCGAAACACTCAAACCGAATGCCAATGAGAACCTACTCTCGTCATCACCAACATAAGTGTCCAGGCCCTTCCCCCTACTTGGCGCTCAGTGCCCAAACTACTCCCCACACCTCTACTATCTGCCTACGAATTGACAATGCAACTGTTGACGTCAGCAGCCACCGAAGTACATGAAGATGTCGCCCAATGCAGACTATCGCCAATACCAGGTATGTGCCCTCATGTCATCCTCCTCATCTCTCTCTCTCTCTCTCTCTCTCTCTCTCTCTCTCTCTCTCTCTCTCTCTCTCTCTCTCTNTCTCTCTCTCTCTCTCTCTCTCTCTCTCTCTCTCTCTCTCTCTCTCTCTCTCTCTCTCTCTCTCTCTCTCTCTCTCTCTCTCTCCCCCTCGTCTTTCACCCACGTCTTCCCTCTTGACACCTGAAGACCACCACTGCGCCTTGCTGTTCATCCAAGCCCCAGCCAGCTATGGAAGCTGGGCTATGGCGCTGCCCACAGCAGCGCCCTCACTTACATGACCGCACGTGCGTTGCACCTTGCTCTAGCGCTAGCAGCAGCCCGTGAGCGTCCACTCCAGCAGCGCTGCCACAAACTAGCAAGTGCCCGAATGCCTTGCCAGGCAGCGAGCTCTTTCCTATATGGAAAGAGTCTGCCCTGGCCTGCGGCCTGGCTGGGCTGGGCCTGCGCCCAGAAGCTTCCGGTAGGCCCCAGGTAGCTGGGGCTCTGCTGCTGCTCTTGGGCCTCGTTGGGTTACGCCTCCTGACTGCCGGTGTATATTGCTGCAGATGTGGCCCAGGGCCTGCTTTTCAGAAAAGGCCTAGAAGACCGTGGAAAGTTTTGCTGCTCGTGGCCTGGGTTCCCTCAACCAACTGACGCGGCACAACTGCCTGAACCCAAACACGAAATTGACAGCAATGGGCCTCTCGTGATTTATCAGGCCTGCCTTCACTTAGGGCGGGCACACTTCAAAACGGGGCCTCTTAGGCCTGCCGAGGAGCCATATCCTCGCAAAATCGAATCTACTTTAAATAAGTCATGATCGCTCAGAATTGAAAAATGATCAATTAAAAAAAAGAAAAAAAAGAAAAAGATCGATTGATTCCCCACAAAATCAAAAGATTACTCAAGTTCATTAAACAACAACAAAAAAAGACGGGCACGTGGAAACATCATAAGTTCATAAGCGAAGTTGAACCAAGTGATTCATATGGATAACAATTTCCAACAACTATGTCTCAGAATTTCAATCCATGGCATGAACAAATAGTTGACATAAACTATAGATCTAGATTCCAAAGTACCCAGAAGATAAACAGCATTGACTGCCACTATTCACCGAGACTAATTTGCTTTTTCCCAGAGGAGCAACAAGGGTGGAAAACTGTCAGTATTTACAGAGTGCCTAGTGGTCGGGATTAACTCTCTCCATTCGGACTAAGTCTCTCCTTCACAATGAGGTCCACATGTCTATGGGACACGTGTCTGCTTCACCCACCAGAGCAATGTCCCTGCCAAGCTAGCACAAACCTCGGGCATTCGTACAATTTTCATCCGCTTATATAGCACCACTCTGGGACCTGACGCTGAGCATGAGACAGACAGAACTCACAGAACTATGTGTATGTCAACCATCTTCACCCGACTAGAGCGCCTGGTTATTATAGCTGTATTCGGGGCAAAAATTTTGAGTCCACATGGAACGAAAAAGACCAGGCAGTGGCCATTTTATTTGGGTGACGACAGTAGGCCTCGAATCTGATGGCTATTATATTCTAGTATTATTGCAACTTGAGCTCCCCATTTCATTTTAATCACAGTCGTCAGATCTTCCTACAAGACCTACACATACTTCAATGGGGTCTGGTTCTGACAGTCTGTGAAGCCAGATTGTCAGATGTTAGTATTATAAGCCTGTGCAGTAGCACCTGGCACAAAGGGATGTCCAGTAAGGGGCTAACAAAGGGCAACAAAGGTATTATAAGCGTAAGGGTAGTGCGTCTTACAATAATCATATAGGCAGTTGGAGAGCACGCAGGAAGGAGAAGGGTCCCTAAAACATTTCCAGCTAAGATGTACGGCCAGCGCCGCTACTCGAGCGAGACAACAGCGTGGTTCGCGCAGCAACTACAGAAAGGAGTGCCCTTTTCAGATTGCAAGATTAGCGAGACATGCAGCAGGAGTTATGGCAGCTATGAAGAGGCGCGTCATTTTCGGTTTGTCAAGAAGAGAGTAGACACCCAACAGCATGGTTCCTTGCCCTTGGTGGTGGCCCTGGCAGAGGTCCAAAGTTCCAGGGTGACCATCCAAGCCATGCCACAAGCGCACACACACAGACTGTCGAGTTCAACCTCCCGATCAGTCAGCAAAAGTCCAACACACACACACACAGAGAGAGAGAGAGAGAGAGAGAGAGAGAGAGAGAGAGAGAGAGAGAGAGAGAGAGAGAGAGAGAGAGAGAGAGAGAGA